ATTTCCCCGGGACAACAAAACCTGTCCCTTATAACGAGGGGGCGTCCGTGAAGAAGGGTGCGATGGTACAACTGTTTTTTTTTTTTCGGAACCCGTCTAATTATAGGACAAAAATGCGTACAATTATAAGAATTTAAACTGGTTCCATAACCGGCTTGGGATCGGTCTGGAAATTGTCTTTGCCATAGATAAAACGCTGGCGACCATTGAGCTTCCGGCGCTCCTTCGTTTGAATGAGACTTGGATTAAAAAGTCGCATTTTTCTGTGACATATCACAAAACAAGAATTGAGTCAGAACTGTTTTGTGGTTGCATCCCACTGCTAACATTAATAGAGAGGTATCCCTGATGTCACCTATTGATGTTAACGTGCTAACCAGATGCTTGTTAGCTCTTGAAACGAGGTTCTTTTGCTTCCATGGCTGGTACATTAAAATAACAAAAGGCTTGCTTGTAAACAGATATCTTTCCTATATTCTGCAGCAATTTTTAATTAAATTAGTTGAAAATGGAATGTCTTTGTCCAGCTGTAAAATTTCATACCAAAAGGCCCGAAAGTTACTAAAGTGCCCTACACCACGTTACGAAAGTGCCCTGAAGGTACCAAAGTGCCCTATTTTAGGTTACCAAAGTGCCCATCAATCTCTCTCTCTCTCTCTCTCTCTCTCTCTCTCTCTCTCTCTCTCTCTCTCTCTCTCTCTCTCTCAGTATAGTTTCCAAACAGATAATCACTACCGGAAACAACAGCTACTTCTCTTAGATGACTAGATATAAATCTACAACGTATTGTAGAACTTTTCAGAGGCTTACAGTTCAACTATTCTGGTAGAATTAAATCATGATTACATGTAACCTTATAGAAAGTTCTGGAATGTTCCATGCTAAGTCATCAGAAGGCTGGAGCATCCATGTCTCAATAACAAGTCATTCTAGAAATCTCTAGAATCTACTTTTTTACAGTCATTGTTTATTACATTTCCGTCCCATCTTTCCTTCTTTCGACAGTTTTAAGTATGAAGATTGGCTACCAGAATGATCCGAGTAACTTCCTTCTGAAGGAAGAAGAATGGAAAACCAGCATCAACATTTCCTCTGCAAACTTTGCCAAGAATGGTAGACACCATTTAATCTCAAAATTGTGCAATGCCATTTTATTACCGATTAATGCTTCATTTCTGTAGTGCTTCTGCGAAGTCTTCCATATTCTGACTTGAAAGTGCGTTTGGTTAAATATCTGAAAAAAGGCTAATAAACACGTAAAATGTGTCGCTATATTTATGTTTTAGGTCTCAAGAAGTAAAAAAATTAACCAAAAAAAAGGCAGCTTGATTGAAATATTCTAGTAAAGTCTGGGATAAGAATCTGAGGAAGAATAATAAATGTTGTAATGACGCAGTATCCAATATATAGTAACAGTTGGCTAGGTAACATACTTGTGTTGGGAGGTCAAATAAATAGCTTTGATCTTAAGATTCTATTTATGTTTCGGTGTTCGAAAAGCATATTGAATTGTATTTTTGAATAGCCCCATTTATTTATAGCTGGCAGCTGTTGTGGGATATATATGAAGCGAATCATGTGTTCTGGTTTTTCTTTTCTTTTCTTTTGGAACAATGTTGTGGAAAAATAAGATTACCTTTTAGGCTAAGGCTTTGTTTTGAATAAGTATGGGGTTACACCAAAGCCTCTCCACGGTCTGTATGTCTTTTTTGTTTATTTCTTTGCTCAGGGTCCGTGGTTGTGGGATGTTTGTACAAAGATCTCCATGAATTGCTGCTGACTAAGCAGTCCATTGGGAATGAAACTCACAATTCAAGGTGACCTTAATACGTAATATATCAGAGAATTGGTTCATGCTTAATGTGCGTGCATTGAGTTGCATGCTATTTGTCAACCTCTAAATCGCATATGGGGCTAAAACATTCTTTTTTTCCTGTTAAATAGTGGAGATAAAAATTATACATAACCTTTTTCTCTATAAAAAAATACGGTTGAATACTTTGGTTTTCAAGGCAGATAGCATACCGGCCATGGTGATTTGAAGAATATAATTTTTCTTAACAGGTACGTCAACACCAGGATAATGACCGCGGCTATGGATCCTAAACCGGAAATTTTACAAGATCTCATCTTGAAGTTCAGAAACCTAAAGGTATTTAATTCCTAGAGGACTGACCTTCTTGTTGTGTTGAGTCAGTTCAAATGAAATTAAATTTATTTCTAGGCCGTGGAGGAAAAGAAGCATTGCATGTTTTGGAGTGGCTTCAGCAAGAGGTAAAAACATATAATATTACATTAACTAATTTGTTTTGAAATAAATTATTTAACGTTTAAAATAAAGTTATCATCATCAATTTATTATCACTTTGTCTGTCGCTTCCAGAGAACCTTCCATGTGAGATTAATGTTTATTACTCTCTTCCTGTAAATGATGGGATGAGAGGGCATCTTGAGAGTCAAAAGATATTTCATAAATTAAACTAGACCTGCCTTCAGAATGAACTTTTCGACACTCTGCTTGTTTCAAACCAAATTGCTTATCTCACATTCCTTTTTTTTT